ACAAATATTGTAGAGTTAAGATGTCCGCTACCATAACAGTTATAAAATACTTATAAATGTGATTTAAGAATTCTGACATTCCGGCTCTTATTGCGAATATCATGGTAACGTGCACATGAAAGTCGAAGAATTTATGAATCGTTTAGAAATCTATATAAAAGCTAGCAAGCACGGTAAGTGAGGACATAGTGTCTCTAATATTTCAGTATCACCTGCTATACATCTTTGGTACGTGTCTCAAGGGCTCCTGGCTAGGACGCAGACATTTGTTTAATTTCCGAATTCAACCAGCAAATGTCGAGTTCGCAATGGCTGGCTAAAAACATTTCGTGTCTTTGTGGGTAGGAGCTGTAATCTGAAACTACTGAGTCTGTACTACCCTTCGTTATAACTGCTATCAAGATGACAACATTGGGAGTGCAGTGTACATTGAGAGCGACAGTATACATTGGAAGCGACAGTAGTGACAGTATACATATCATGTCCTGTGACAAAGCACATATACATTGCAATTTCATCACTGTTGTCCCTGTCGAACGGGGATGCCGTGTATCTACTTTGCAGAACCTTTGATTTGATAGTCCGCATTAACAATCGCACACAGGTTGGGTTAGTAGGCTTCGACTAAGAGTGAAGTACTGTTATCCCTTCCACTTTGAATTCGACATCATAAATATAAAATAGTTGTCCGCATTTCTCATTGGTCTTTGGTGTATTGTTAACATTCATCAAAACCGAAATATGTAGAGACCCTCATGTCCTCTCTAGTGATAAACGCACAAACCCAATCTCTGCGCATTATATAGCGCGAACCTTGAAGTAAAGGCTCTTCGACGCGAAGTGCACAGCATCGCGGTTCCATTTGGCAGCACTTGTGTTGAATCCCACAATCCAGTCCTGAAAGGACTCTTTTTCTCTGAAAATGGAAACTGAATCGTTTATGCACGTAACAAGACCAGTCTCGAAGCTTACGTCTGTCGTGGCTCTCGATGTAATCAGAAAACTGAAGGCCAAAGGATTGAAGGCGGTAATTGCCCGCCTGGAAACGGGCACCGGCTTTGAAAATGCACTGGTTATACACATCCGAACCGGGCGCCGAAAGGCGAACAAAGCAGATGGATCCTACTGAGGGACTGCTGTAGCTGAGACTTTACGCCTATGAAAGCCGCGTTGAAAGCAACGTATAACCTCGGAAACGATGAGGTGGCACTAGATTTGGTCATGCTTATAACTGAGAGACAGCGCGATGCCCATGTCTTCTCCAGGCATAAGGCTGTGACTGGGAATGAGTACTTACATGCCACACTTCACCAAATAAGACTATAAAAAAGAAGTTTTCAAATTGACAGATGTGGTTGGACGCATTGTCTTACCAAGCGTGCAGCGGGGCTGTCGTAGCTTAGCGCTTGAGGAAGCGTAGTTTAGGTCACCGACCTTTCGTTCTTTACAAGAACCAAGTATGAGTTAGCGGATTGCAATCCGCTTACTCCAAGAGTAATATTGCCTTCCCAAGGCTAATTGACTCTTCGGTTTAAAAACTCAAAACTGATTTTTATTTACTTTTTATCCTGATTTTGAAAGTTTTGCTTTTCCTAAATATCCTTAATATATGATATTTAGGAAAAGCAAAAGCCTAAATATATGTAGTAAAATCTCAATACATGCATAGCTACTGACTACCTAGCCCTGTGCCGTATTCTTGTTTGGGTGTGGTCACACCATACACATCTCGTTTGACACACGCACCTGTTATCAGGGTTCGTGTATCCCCGTTACGCCCTCCCCCAGTAAGATTGAAAACATTTACAGTTCCAATTTATTATTGCCTCAACCAGGCTCGCGTGTTTGTTAGACACTGCAACTCAATTTGTTGGAATTTAACAACTTCCTTGCTCAATGAGACATGTGTCAATTATAACAAAATTTCCAAGTCTCGCTGGTTCCGACAGCGAACACGGGCAGAGCCCAATTCGTCTCCCACACGCGGTGCGATGTCGGAGAGTGCGTCCGCAGCACCGAGGGATGTATATCCTCGGCTCAATGCACGCGATCAGTGACGAATCATCTCGTTGAAGATGTGGAGTTGGTCGACTAAGAGTCTGACACCCCTTTTCCCGCATGGGATGACGAGGAAGGCGAGCTGCACTAGCAGCGTGATACGAGCCCTGCTCGTGCCTTGCGGACCCCATGTCTGTTTCCTGATTTATCGTTCCCTGAAAGACGTGGTATAATCACTAATGACCTCGACGGGGTCCAAAGGCGGCAGCTGAAGTTGCCCGTAAGGCTGCTCTGCTGCGCGCCCATCCACGGCCGGTCATTGACTCTCATTTGGAACATGGCTTCCGCCCAGCAGATCCTACTTCGGAAGCGATGGACGCGGTAACTCGATCGTTACACATCACATCATCGGGCCCTCGGCCAGAACGGAAGATGAGCTTGCCAAACAAAAAGCTCTTTGAGCTTGCTTCTTGGTTCCACAAGACTTTTCGTTGGAAGCTTATCGCACTCGTCCGAGTGCTCAACGAGGTGGCTCTCGTGTACCCGCAATGCGGACAATACCTGTAGTGCTC